CACTACAGGATGGGTTTGGGGACCCACTAGACCTACTGTGAGACAGACTTGAGCTAAGACTCCATTAATAACCTGACCTCCATAGGCCCCCACTCTGACTGGTGGGCCACAGTGACGTTTTGGGTCTCTTGGAGTTAATGCCGATTCAGAGCCAGTATCCAGTAATCCCTGAAAAGTCTGATTATTTCCTTTTCCCCAGTGAACAATCTCTCATAAAACGCCAGAGATCCCTTTGAGGAAGCCTGGAAGAAATATTAACAGTATAAGTTATGGGCAGTGTAGTGGAGTCCTTCATCAAGGGAATTCGGCCTCCCCTTCATTCAGGTGGTTCTGGGTTTTTAAACTCACTCAAGTCTGGGAATTGATTGAGAGGCCGTGACTATTCTGGCAATTCAAGTTAGACTACTGTTCACTTAACCTAGAATTCATCTGCTTATACAGATCAAGTAAATATTTAGTAGATTTTCTATCTATTTCACGCCTAGGTATACCTGACTAAGTAGCCAACACCTTAAGTCCATGCAAGTCAGACTATTTCTGTTTACTGCTTTTACTGCTTTGACTGTCCATTACTGTAACCACACCCAGCTTGTCTTTGTTGACTGTGTGCTGCCACTTGGCCCCTACCACCACGGGCTCCAATCAGCCCCATTGTACTTGGGTGCCTTAATTCATTTAGGGCAGTTCCCACTGTCAAATCTGACACATAAAATACAAATCACAGCAGTCTTCAAGGATGCTGGGGCTCCCTTTACAAATTTGTTCCTCACTGTTGTGGTAAAAGGTGTGTCCTCCGGGCACTCCATGTGTGGGTCTCTGGGTCTAACCTGATAAATCCACTCTAGCATGCCAAGTTCCCTAAGCCTTCGGATACCTTCTACAATATAGCAAGGCAGGTCTGATACTTCAACTTGATTTAATGTAGCCTGCCACATAATCCATGCTTCAGCCACCCAACCAAATAAGCTATTAGATCCTTTCCTAACTTCTTGAGCTGAAACACTGAATGAAGAATCTGTGCTTAATGGGCACATAACAATAAACTCAGACTGATCCATCTTTATGTTCCTTGCACCATTATCCCACACCCTTGATAGCCATTCCCACACATATTCTCCAGGTTTGTTTGTACATATTAGAAAAGTCAAGCAGTTCTTTTGGAGTGTAGCATTACCTCCTCCTTGTTTCCACTTTGTACTTCACCTTTTGGGGCTTGCTGGGACTTAAGTCTAGTTACAGGTCTAGAAGCCAAAATCAATGGTAGGAAAATGTTTTGAGAACATTCAGCATTGTCTTGTAAAGCATCTGCCTCAGGCGATGCCCCAGGTAATGACTCAAAGTCTCTTTAGACATACCAAAAACCAAACCCATTGCCCTCGAGTAGATTCCAACTCATAGCGGAATCATCCCAAGTTTCAGGATCCCATTTCTTCCCAATCAGTGCTCTTACTTTAACTTCAGACACATTTCACCTTTCAGCACCTTTCGAGGTTGACAGTTGTGTTGGCGTTGTAATTCCTCCACTCTTATGATAAGACTCGAGGTTTGGTTTTCAGCAGTATCAGCTCTGTTACTACAAGAAATAAGGCTTTCTTTCAAGGCACAAGTGGAAACTTTGAGGTCATTTATGCAGCACTTGAGCTTTGACTCTGAAGCCCTGAGCTCATTTCTTTCTGTCACCAGTTTGTCTGGTGAAAGTAGGACCAACCAACCAGCTTCCTTATATATACTTCTCATTATGACAAAACTGTAGAAAGATATCACACATGCAATCATCCAGAGCCTCACTTTCACCGATACCTGATCTCTTGGAGGTGGTACTTTGCATATTTGAATTGCCACCTCAAGCCCTGGATTTAGCAGTGCCCTCTTTACTACTGGAAGCAGAGTCATCTACATCTTTAAGACTAACCAGACTTGAGAACCATCCTTAAAATTTTGTTTCTCTAGAACCACTCTCAGTACCAAATATCTTAGGCTGGATTCTCTAGAGAAGCAAAACCAGTGAAGCGTATAAATATATATGCAGAGAGAGATTTTTATCAAGGAAATGGCTCATGCAGTTGTACAGGCGGAAACATCCCAAGTCCATGGGTCAAGATACAGGCATCTCCTGATTCACGTAGCCGCAGGGGCTGGCAAACCCAAGATCGGCAGGTCAGAGAGCAGGGCTCTTGCTCACAGGCTGCGAAAATCAATGAATCCCAAGATTAGCAGGCAAGACCGCAGGTAAGCTGCTAGCTCAAGTCCCAAGAACTGGAGGTCAGATGAAGAGGAGTCAGCTGCAGGATCCAGAGCAAGCAAAAGTCTTGCCAGAATGTCCACTTATGCTCAATGCAGGCCACACGCCCAAGGAAACTCCCTTTCAACTGACTGGCTACTTACAGCAGATTCTATCATGGAGGTGATCCCATTATATCAAATGTCATCTTGGAAGTGATCACAACATCATATGACTGCCAAACCACTGGGAATCATGGCCCAGCCAAGTTGACACACAACCTTAACCATCACACCCACTAAAACCCATTGCCATCAAGTGGATTCCAACTCATGGCAACCCTACATGTTAGAGTAGAACTGCTCCATAGAGTTTTCTTGGCTGTAATCTTTATCAAAGCAGATTGCCAGGCCTTTCTTCCACAGCACTATGGGTGAGTTCGAACTACCAACCTTGCACTACCCAGGGATCTTCACACCAACTAGGATAGCTGTAATCAAAAAGAAAGACAATAATAAGTGTTGACAAGGATGTGGAAAAATTGGAATCCTCATACACTGCTGGTGAGAATGTAAAAGGGTGCAGCTGCTTTGGAAAACACTCTGGCAGTTTCTCAAGATAAACATACACCTACTGTATGACGCAGCCATTCCACTGCTAAGTATATACTCAAGAGAATTAAAAACATATATTCACACGAATGTTCAGGGTAGCATTATTCATTACAGCCAAAAAGTGAAAACAATTCAAATGTCCATCAATTGATGAATGGGTAACCAAATTGTAATATATCCATACGATGGAATATTATTCAGTCATAAAAAGGAATGAAGTAGTAATACATGCTACAACATGGATGAACTTTGAAAACGTTATGCCAAGTAAAAGATGCCAGACACAAAAGGCCATATGTTGTATGATTCCATTCATGTGAAATGTCCAGAGTAGGCAAATTCATAGAAACAGGAAGTAGATTATTGGTTACCAGAAAGTATATTAGTGGTTGCCAGGGACTGGGGAGAGAGGGAAATGGGGAGTGACTAGTGGTTGCAAGGTTTCTTTCTGGGGTGATGAAAAAGTTCTGGTATTAGATGGCGGTGATGGTTGTACAACCTTGTGAATATACTAAAACCCACTGAAGTGTACACTTTAAAATAGTGAATTTTATGGTATGTGAGTTATATCTCAATTTTTTTTAATGTTCAAGAAAGGGCAGCTAAAGAGTGACACACGTTTGTTAGTAACAGCCCTACCTCTTCAGTAAGCAGTGATGGAGAGATCTTAGGCAGGTGTACGTGCTGGGGCTCAAGGAGCAACCCAGATGTGACCGTGTGGGTGTACCACCCGTCTCTCCCCTTCCCACCCAGCCGACAACACCGCGCACACACCCATAGCATTCCAGGGTGAACATCTCTTTGCCCTCGGTACCAAGTGGTTCTGGCTGCTGGTTTCTTTTACACAGTACCCAAGTTTGCGTAGTGATTCCTAACAATAGTATCAAATCAAAAATGAGAGTAGTCACTTATATGAAATATCTAGAATAGGTAAATGAATAGAGTACAAAGCTTATTAGTGGCTACCAGGGGTGGGGGGGGAGGGGAAACATTGTTTAGGAAACATTTTCTCTTTATGGTGATGGAAATTTTGGCAACGGATATTGGCGATGGTTGAACACTGTGATTAATTAGTGTCATTAAATTGTACATGTGAAAATATTGAATTGGCAATTGTGCTTATATATACCTTTACAACAACAACAACAACAAAAATAGGGAGTGGTAACTCTGGCACTCCCACATCTTCCCCTGGAGTCACGTGTCCTACAAATCCCTGCCAAATTCTCCTTTCTGAGTAACTGCTTTCACTTGGAGGCTCTGAAATCCACGGTGGCTCCTTCTTATTATTTAACACATTGATTTTAACTCCCTTCCCTAGTTTTCAAAGCCCTCTGTAACCTAATCCTACTTTCTTATACAAAATTACATCACATGATAATCATTTGCTTGTTAATAGCTTAGACTCTAACCTTACAACCCTGTTTTGTCTGACTTCACAAATAGGACTTAGTTTCTACTGAGATGTTAGATGTGTATTGAGAGCTATTCCAAAGTATCTCAGGCCTCACAGCATCAACCACCTGTAGGTCTTCTTACTTACCTGTCTCTGGGGATGAAGCAGAAGTTCTTGACTGACACCGCCACCTTTACAAAGGCAGTGTTTTTGTCTTTTTTTTTTAAATAGGGCAGCAGTACAAAGTAGGAGGAGGAGCTTATTGGGAGGTGCCCTAACATAAGCTTAGTATGCACTGATCTCCCCAGAGTCCCTAGAAGGACACTTGTTAGAACATAATGAGCGTTCAGCAAGTATTTGTTAACTTGAGGCAAACTCTATTTTTTAACAGCAGTTTTTGTATATTCACTGCATCTCTGCTTAATTCTATCAAGCTAAAAGATTCTGATACATTTCTGATAGAAACTCAAGTTATGAAAATCAACTATTTGCTATATATGTATATATCTCAGAAGTCAAATGATTTGTTTTATATATATATATATATATATATATATATATACACACCACAGTTTAAAAAATGGTTTAAAAAATCTATTAGTGAGCCTTTTGTTACTGTCTCAGGACTGAACTTTGTTAAATTAGATTCTAACTAAAATACCTGATTTTTTTCTAGCATGTGTTTAAACAGGATTTTTTATTATTATTTAAAAAATAGTGAGCTGTTGTTATGAATTTACTTTTTGGATGTTTTTCTTTGTCCTTACAGACTATTAGACCCAAAAAGGATGTTACCAACCATGTTGCTTTGCCTGTCAAAACTACAAGGCCCATCAACCTTAAACTCCAGCCTAGACCCACCAATATCACAGAGACCCAGAAACCAAAGTTGGATCCACCAAAACTTGTGGGCAAAAGGCTAATTTCAGGATGTATTTCTTCTAACCTAAATTGTAAGCCTTCCAGCAGCAGTCAAAAGCAGCCCAAAACTAGATCATCCGCTACAAGAGAACCATCAAGAAAGCCTATGGGATCATGTCCCAGACAGGAATTGAAAACTACAAAGCAGCAGGTAACAGATCAAGAAAAGGCTAAATGTATGGATTCTGTGGACAATACCCAGGTTGAAAATGAATCCTTGAATCGCTTTCTAAAGGAGATAAATAAAGAGAACCTGCCCCAAACCTTATCAGACTCTGAGAGGAAGCCAGATCCTGAATTTTGTACTGTAAGTAAGCCAGAGACTAACTCTCATAATCCAACCAAGAGCAGGTCAGCTCCTGAACAAGCCTTGGGCAAAAGTTTAATGAATAGTGCTGTTCTGAAAGACAGAGGTAATAAGCCATTTGTTGGAAAAACACAAATCAGGATTCAACCAGTAGAATCACAGCAACTGTCTAGAGGAGCAGATCTTACAAGACGAAGAGAAAAACCCCCAAGGACAGTTCCCTGTCACTTTGTTAAGACCCTTAGTAGGACTCCAGCATCAAAAAAACCTGTGGCCAAGGAACAGGATATAAACATTAGCAGGGCTAAACATGAAAAAGCAGATGAAGCTAAGTTACAATCATATGTTAACGAACAAAAAGCAAAACGTTTGGTACCCCAGACCTACACCGGTTTGCTTCAGGGAAGAATTAACAACAGACATCCAAACATTAAACAAGATCAGAAGCCTAATCAGCCTTGTTTTAGACCCCAGGCATCGTTTGTACTGCAGAATTCAAAAGACTTAAGCAGGAGGCCTGATCTGACAGCTGACAACTCTAATCCAGTAATTCCGAGCACCCCTAGCATAAGAGCAAATGGGACAAATGGGAATAAATGCAACAATGACTTTCAGCCAAAAGTGCAGACTTTGGACTCCAAGTTGAAAAGGACTCTTTACCAGAACTATTTTCTGAATAAGACAGCTCCCAAAACTCAGGCTGGTGACACAACCATGAATAGAAGAATCCCAGATGGGACCCCAACTAACCCAAATATTAAAAAAAAGGCAACAGAGGATCGAAGGTACTTTGCTTTGGTTCTAAAATTATTTTGCAACTTAAAATGATTAGGCAAATGACAACCAAGAATACTTGATCAGGAAATAGACCATAAGTAATGGTTCCTAAGTAATTTTTAGGTATAGCCCTGAAAAAGAAGGAAAAAAAAAGATTTGAAGCAAATTTAACAAATTATTAAGATTTGACAAAGCTTAGTGGTATATACATGTGTTATAAATCATTCTATGTAATTTTCCATATGTTTGAAATAGTTTATATATTTAAAAAAAAAGAAATTCAAACGCAGAATGGATGAGTATAAAATAGAGGTTGTAGGTGTAGACTCCTTGTTCAAGAAGTGCCACACAGGGACTGAGCAATAGACAGGTTAAGAGGAGCCAGAGCAGTGAGTTCACAGAGCTAGAAAGTGGGGAGTTGGTGGCCGCTTGTCAAGCAGACCAGTGGTTAGGTCCAGAAACATCAGGGGAGAAGGAACCAGAAGTTTCCATGAGTCTGAGCAGGCCAAGTTTGGGGAAGTCAGCTAAGGCATACAAGCAGTTCAAAACCAGAGTGCGAAGGGTCAGATGATAGAAATCAGGATCTCCGTTTTCTGGGAGTTAATATTAATAGACATGATGCTTGAAACTGAGCCAAAGGATTGTGTACAGTTTCCGCATAGGGCCAGACCTAGTCTCATAACTGTAAACCTCTCAGTGGAAGCACCTATGTACACCTGGTTGAAGAAGAAAATCAGGAGATTTCCTGGCAAGGGTGAAAGGAACAGGTAAAGTTATACAGTAGCTTAAATGCAGCAGGGTGAAGTGAAGGCAAGATTATTCTCTGGACACAGCCCTGACCAATAAGCTCTCTGCCCCCCTAAAGAGACAGAAAATAAACAACTTAATTCAGGATAATCTGATAGAGAGGGCTAGGGTGGCTTCTTTAAATAGAAGGATCACAGGATATACTCTGTGAGGTAGTGACAGTGACATCTGAGCTGAGAGCTAAGGTTGAGAAGAGGCTAGTGACGAGAAGAAGGACAAAGAAAACTGAGAGCAAAGACCCTGAGCTGAGGAATAAGGAAGTCAAGGTCTCTGCCCTCAAGCTCACAGTCTAGATTAGACAACAGTCCATCATAAGACAATGTGTTGAATGCTGAACATGTCTGATTACAAAAGAGAAGGAACTGTGGAGAAGGTTAAATTCATTCACTCCTTCCTAGAGTGTTCCTTCACCAACAGCGTGCTAGGCGCTGGTGGGTGCAGTGGTGAGCACACAGCCAGTCTGTCCCCAAAGAGAGTGTTGTCTGGTGTGTCAAGTTCTCAAGAAATAAAGTTACACCAGTGAGGACCTGCTAATAAGCTGGCTTCACAGAAAGAAAGCTCCCTCTTACTTGTGATGAGAAGGAAGGCTAAGGAGATAGAAAGGGGGCCCAGAACAGAGGCAACACGTGCCTGCTGTCTCAACTTTTATCAAGAAATAAGTACTTAGAGTGAAGGTGAGTGGGGAGCAGTGCGGCTGAAATCAGCACTGTGTGGATTGTGCTCTGGAGCCAAGGAGAGCAACAAGAGGGTTACTAGGAGCATATGTTCATTCAAAAAAGAGTTATTGGCATTTTAATGTTGAAAAGCAAAACTATAAGGACAGAAAACAGATCAGTGGTTGCCAAGAGCTTGAGGTTGGGGCTGGGTTGAATAACAAGGAGTTTGAGAGATTTTTTGAGGGTGTTGGAACTGTTTTGTATCTTGCTTGTAGTGGTGGTTACTTGACTTCATACATTTGTCGGAACTCACAGAACTGCACACTAAAGGGTGAGTTTTACTGCATGTTGAACACCTATGTGTGCCAGACACTGTGCAAGGCACCCACATCCAGTGCCTTCACAGAGCTTGCATTCTGGTGGAGAAGACAGAAAAATCAACGTGTGATTAAGTAAGACAGGATAATTACAGACATCTCTTCAAGGAGGTGACATTTGATCAAAGAACTGAAGACTGAAAATGCAAGGCCCTGAGCAGGAATGAACTCGGGTCAGGACACTGAAAGGATGCCAGAGTTTCTGAAGTGGTGGGAGAGGGACGAGGGAGAGTGCCATGACATGGGGTCAGTGAGATGAGCAGGAGCCAAATGATGCTGGGCCTTTCAGCCATGGAAAACATTTTGAATTTTTTCCAAGAGTGATGCGAAGTCCCTGGCAGTGATATGATCTGGTTTACGTTTTAAAGATCACTCTAGCTACTGTGCAAAGAATGAATTTGATAACGGTTAGAGTGGAAGCAAGGAGATGAGTTCGCAGGCTGAACGGAAGATGACAGTGATTTGGACTAGGAGGCTGGCAGTGGAGATAGAAGTAATACTAACTGTGCACAATGATGTGTCGGGTGTAGGGGACAGGAAAGTGACTACTCGAAGAGAATGTCTAGTTTTGGGCCCTAGCAACTGGGTGGATTGGGTGCCGTTTAGCAAGGCAGGGAAGACTGTTTGGAACAGAGTCGGAGATGAAAATCAAGAGTTTGTGTGTGTTTGTTTTTGTACAATATTAAATTTGAGATGCATGGCAGATATCAAATTGAGGACATCAAGTAGGCACTGGGTTTTATGAAGCTTGGGGCTCCAGGGAGAGATCAGGCTGAAGATGTCTATTTGTGAACAGTTTTTATTTAACATGTAGTTGTTATTTAAAGAAGCTAGAAAACGTGCATCTCCAGACTCTTAGGTCTACGTGTCTTGGTGCCTCCCTAGCAGCAGCCTACAGGCCACTCAGAAGCAGGAGTGGAGAATGTGAACAGTGGAAGAGATCCAGGATTAGAACTTGGTAGAACCGGAGACCAGCTACTTAAGAAAAGAGCCCTAAAATTACTGGTCTACTTAAGGAAGAAAGGGAGTCATGCGTGGTCAAGACAGGGCTAAGGAACTGGGTAAAGTGGGTCATTTTGAGTGACCAAGACCCTACAGAGGGCAGAATGCAAGTTTGATGGGTCTGAGTGAGTGACTGATAGCAAGCTTATGGTGAGAGAAATGGGGTGCCAAGTGATCTCAGATGTAGGGTGTCTTAGGAAAGTGTCAGAGCCAGCATGCAGATGAAATGAAAATTTCCAGAGAAAAATAATGAAGAATAATCACAAAGTTAACGAATTTGAAGACTGAGATGCTGATCACCTGCAGTCCTAGTGATCCCTATGGCACCTGTCTTTTGAAGAATAGGGCAACCCAGTGCTGCCGTTACCCATTTGTAAATTGTTTTTTAATTCCATTCTTCTGACTTTGCCTGTAGTTGAAGGTCTTTAGTTACACTCAATCTACGCATATCACGTATCTGAGAAGCTTGACTATGTAAAAACTAACCCCTCGCCCCACCTCTTTAATTGCATTACAGGAAACAGCTGGAAGAATGGCAGAAGTCTAAGGGGAAAGTCTATAAGCGGCCTCCTATGGAACTTAAAACGAAAAGAAAAGTAATAGAGAAAATGAATGTTTCATTCTGGAAGAGCATTGAAAAAGAAGAGGAAGAAAAGAAAGCCCAATTTGAACTGTCCAGTAAAATCAATAACACTCTGACAGAATGTCTGCAGCTCATTGAAGGGGTAAGTGAGGAGGATACACTCCCAGAGCTTTGCCTCAGGGTCCCGGAATGTTTACATGGGTTTCTTCAATATAGTGTAGGGGAGTTACCTATTCCATCTGTCTTGGTAGAAATTTAGCTGTTCTTTTTAATATAGAGGAAGAGCACTAATAATAATGGTGGTTATTAAATAGTGGTTCTTGTATGCCAGACACTGTTGTAAGCACTTGACATGTATTACCTCTTAACTATCATAACGGCTATCACTATCCTCACTTTACAAAGAGAGTGGAGGCCCAGAGAAGTTAGGAAACTCTCTCAAGGAGTCTGTCTCCAGATCCAAAGATCCAAAAGGAACTTTGCCTTCTCTGTGTATCAAGGTCCAAAGAGTCCACATTTAACATTTGGGTTTGAAGCTGAAGTCAAAAGCAAGATCATGTGTAAATATGTATTGTTCTAAATGCTCTGAGTAGCTATAAACAGCGTCTAAATTATGTCTTGGATTCTGCAGATAAGAATAAAGTAGATGACAGGCAAAGGGTATGATCCTTAGGAGATTCCCTGAAGGAACCTAATTTACAATTATGGAACAGACTTCTGTACCAAAGCCCTTGCCTGAAACAAGCCCCATCCTGTCCTTTGGCTGGTAATGTTGGGAAAGACCATCAGCAAAAGAAGGAAACCTTCACTTTAGGTCAGCTCCAGGCAGTTCTGCGTTTTTTTCACAGCGTTCAGTTAAATATTAACTATTTCTCCTTTGTGGAATTAAACTTCAGTTTTTTTTTCTGTTTTCATTCCTTTCCCTTTTAAAACTTTTATTTTTTGTTTTTATTTTTTAAAATAAAAAAAGAATACATTTGTAGTATTAAAAACATTTCAAACAATGCAGACAAATGACCACTGTCCCTCCCTTCCCCCCATAACCTCCTCCCCACCACACACACACGCGTCCCACGGTTCTCCCTGGAGGTGACCACTACTGCCAGTTATCCTTCCAGATGGCTTTTATGTGTGTACATACAGTGTAGGTACATAGAGAAATGAAATATATACCTTTGTGAGTTGCAATTATTTTGTTCCAGATTTTCACATATGTTCTTAGGTTGTCTTTTGTGCTTTCCTATCAGTTTTGTCAATGAGTTCGATATTTTTCTTTTTCCCATACACTGAAAATAGTTAATACAACATGGGAATTGTTTAGTTCTTTGAAGTTTGGTAGAACTTTCCCATAAAATTACCTGAACCATGCTTCTTTGGGGATAGTTTTGTGTATATCTTTTCAGTCTCTTCTATGTTGGTCTGTCTAAGTTTTCTATTTCTGTTTCTTTCTTTGGAAACACCGGTGGCACAGTGGTTAAGTGCTACGGCTGCTAACCTGAGACGGGTTTGTGTGAAAGTAATTTATTAGGAAGAGGTTCCCAGGGAAAACTGGTAGGGGAGTGGTGGGGATATGGGGTCAGAAAGGAAGGGAGGCCAGGCAGGGTACAGTATCAAGCAAAGTCCCATGGAGGGTAACTTGGGCACAATCTCACAGGGAGCTCTGGAGACAGTGGGGTACACCTCTCAGAGTCGTACTGATCAGCGGGAAGTGAACTGGGTTATTAACACTGCCACAGTTGTTGGTGAATGGCTGCCCCTAGGGGAATATAAATCCCAGGCACTTCTCTTCTGGCTGTCTGGACACATACAAAGAGGCCATCAGAAATAAAAGCACATTGTGACCCTGTGTGCACAAAAATAGTAAAGGGGCAGAGGTGATATGGGTGCTACACACGGGACTAACAAAGCAAAGGGGACCTCAGGAAACAGTGGCAATAACTGCAGCAATCGGTTACACCTGCTGAGTTTAGGGGAACAAAGAGAGGTTAGCAGTATCAGAAACTAGAAACTAGAAGAGACGAACCCCTGTGAAATGGGACTCCACCTCTGAGGAAGGCTTACTACCCAGCAGATGCTGGTACCCTAGGAGCTGAAGGAAGAGCTGTAGGGTGGGACTCAGACCTTGAGGAGAGAATGCTGCCCAACAGTTGCTCATGCCTCTGACGGGACACAGTGAGGCAGGTTCTAGGAATTCCAGAAAAAGGGTGGAAGCTGGAGCCAACTACTGCTGCCAGGGCAAAGGGCCATTGCTGGTATGAGGGAAGCAAACCGGAAGGAGGATGTTCCCTCTCCATCCCTGCATTTTCCCTCTAGTGCCCCCTCTTGGTACAGCCCAACAGCAAGTTGAGTTCTTTAACCCAAAAGTTATTTTAGAAGAATATGATTTAATTGCTAGATGTGTTGCTGTGTTTTGTTTTGTTTTGTTTTTCTGGCTCTCTTTCTGTTATTTTTTAATTATATTCTTTGTATTTCTGTAAACTTTATATTTTTCATAGGTATGTTAGTTACATAAAGATTCTTGACTTGCTTTGATTTCTATTTTGTCTGATATTAATCTTGCACCCTTGCATTTTGTTGTTGTTGTTGATATTTGTCTGGTAAATCTCTTTCTATCCTTTTATTTTTAAACTTTCCTGTATTGTTTTATTTTAGGCATGTCTCTTGTGAATGCATACAGTGGAATTTTTTTAACCAAATCTGAAACTGCTTTCGCTAAATGTAAACTTTCAATTTTAAATTTTTTAAAGTGAATTTAGCTCATACATATTTATTGTGACCATTCACATGTTTAAACTTACGCCCACCATTTTATTTTGTAATTCAATTAACATGAATTCTTTTTTTGCTTATTTTCCCTCATTTCTGTATTTGATCCCGTTTTCTTTATTCCATAAAGAAAGCATGTAAATAGAATTCACAAAATAAAATGGTAGGTGTAAGTTCTAACATGGTTTGCAAGTTGTATATCCTATTCTTCTGTAGTTACTGGTAAATGTTTAAAATATGTTTATATTTAGGATTGATCAATATAAATATTCCCCTTCCCCCTCCCTTTTTCTCGCCAAACAGAAAGGAAATTTAGCAAGTTTTTATTTCCTTCCTTACCACTCTTTCAGCTCCACCTTCTGTGTTGAGATCATTTGAATTTTAGTTCCAGATTGATGTTACTGTTTTAAAGTTTTGCTGGCTTCCTTTCTCACAACTCTTCTATTATTTCAAGTCTTCCACTTGGATTCTAAAGTTCATTCACCAGTGACCTTATTGTTTCTCAATGATTAATTTTCTATGTCCTTATGCTTGTGAAAATTTTATTATTTAACCCTCATGCTGGAATCATAGTTTGACTGGGAAACTTTCCTAATTGTACATTATTTTCTCTGGGAAATATTAAGTTAATTGCTTTATTTTCTTCCTTGCATTTGGAGTTCTTGATTTAAAATCTCATGTCAGTCTGAGTCTCATTCCTCTATGGGAATCCTTCCACTGCCTGCCTTCCTGTCTGAAACTTTTAGGATTTTCTTTTTATCCTTGGTTTTCTGATGGTTCTTGGTTCCAGTGGTTCTAGTTTCATTCATCCTGCTTGGCTCTCTGAGGGCCATTTCAATCTGAACCCTTATATCTTTGTTCAGTTCTTGTAAATTTTCTTCTGCAACTGCTCTGAGTGTGTTCTCCTTTGTTCTCTCAATATTTCTCTGAGAAATTATCTTACATGGGTATTGGAATTCCTGAGTAGGTGTATCCTCCAGAACTGTTAACTTTTCTTTCGTACTCTTCATTTCTTTGTTTTTTTGCACCTGAGTTCTGGGAGAATTCCTTTGCTGAATCTTCAGCTCACTGATTTATTCTTCAGAGGTATCCATGCCAGTGTTCAGCCCTTTTCTTAGTTCTTTTGCACAGCAGTCCATTCTAGTCTTCTGGTGACAGGCAGTATTCTCTCTTATCACTCTGAAGATGCTGACTGTAGTACTCTTAAAATTTCTTCCTCTTTGCTCCAGTGTTCATGCTTCTGTTTTTTGGGATTTTATTCCTCTTTCATGTGGTGGTGGTTTTCTCAAACATTGATGATTCTTGGTTGTGAGTTATCTTGTATCTCTTCCATCTCGTGAGGAGTAGAAGTTGCTGCTCGCATGAGCATGCCTGTACCTCGGCTCCTGGGCGTGGTAGCTCCTCCTTCCTCCTGGTCCATGTCACTTTCCTGCTCTGGGCACAAGCCAGAAGGGGACCAAACCAGTGAAATAATCTTGAAGTTCCTTTTTGTGCATAAATGATTACTCTAGGGGGTTTGTTTGTTTGTTTTTTCACAAATAAAAATGTAGAGCATACTTCTTTACCTTCAGCTATGATATACATTTTTCTGTATGTTTGGTCTCATGTAAATTTAATGATCATTGTCAGAACTCATTGACATGTACAATTAAAATGAATGCATTTTATTGTATGTAAACTGTACATCAGTCATGTTGAAATTTTTTTAAAAAGTTCAAAAAATTAATGATCAGACTGATTTCTGCATACTTGCTATGCTAAATATTAGGAGATGTGAGAGTGACAATGAGATGGTAATAACTTCCTCTGGGCGTTTTATTTTTCCAGGGTGTATTTTCTAATGAAGTGTTTACCATATTGTCCAGTATTCCTGAGGCTGAAAAATTTGCTAAATTCTGGATCTGCAAAGCAAAGCTGTTGGCAAGAAAAGGCACCTTTGATGTTATTGGGCTGTACGAAGAGGCCATTAGAAATGGGGCAACAGTGAGTATCTGTCTTGGGTGGGTGACTTCTTAAAAATTCTCTTTCATGTGGGTTCTCTATTATGCACAATATGGCAGTTATAATAATGCGGTGTTAAACTTCTAAGTATTACTTCATAAAGTTATATACAGAATATGAAGTGCAGTATGTCCTTTGTGAACATTTTAGATGAAAATACTTAGTTTGTAGAAAACGGTACTACATGTAAACCAATAAACCAGTAGAGCCAGTTTTCTTTGTCAAGTGAGTGTGTCTCACGTAGTAATCACTGTAGAAATATCCACGATGGAGTGTAATAGCATAGAACGTTGTAATGTCAATATCTGGGGCGTATAAAGCCATGCCGTACATAAAGAACCTAGAAATAAATTAAACCCAACACGTCAATATCCATAAACCAATAATTCAGAGCCATCACAAAAATAACTTATAATTCTAAAACCTAGAGAAAACCACTGTCTCTCTCTCTCTCTCTCTCTATGTATAGTTTTCTTTTTTTACAGACTGCCTCAAATAATTATATAACTCTTTTCACTTAAATTTCACTTTCCATGTCGTTATATACCCTACAGTAGTACCTTTTTCCATCATTGTTCAAAATCAGAGTTATACATGCACATAGTTTAAACAGTTCAAAAAGATGTACTAGGAAAAACATCAATCCTCTGCTTTCCTCCTCCCCTCTACCATTTCCCACTTCCCAGGCAAAACTGATTATTTTGATATTTACCACTGTAGTTTTAGATAATATGCTTATGTTACTATTTCTTAGTTTTTCACTTTTAGACATGATTTGTGGACTTACATCTATCTTAGCCTTCTTTCACACATACCTACCTGGACCCCTAGCACACACACATATATACCTCTACCACTTTTGAATACCTTTGCCATTCTTCATATTTCTATTAGAATCATATGGAAAGCCTGGTCACTATTCAGTGTTCACATTATTTGAATATATAAGAAATATATCAATATATTGAGCCATTTAATATACACTAAGATTGCTTTGCTTTCACACACAACTGTCTACTTCTCTGAAATTGTCTTGGTTTTCTTTTGTTTAGTTATCTGAGTACTTGTCATATAATTAATTCCCAAACTCTTCTCTAATTGTCTAAATTTCTCAATATTTTTAAAACAGCAGATATTTTATTGATTTCTTTTTCTTGGAGAACTTTCTCCCAGAGCCTGTTGGTCAGTTCCAGGCTGGACAGATTGCTCTTTACCCCCTGTTTTTACCAGCTGTCATCCTGGGATTTCCTTTCACCATCACCTCATATTCCTTTCACATCCTTTTTGAGTTGGGTAGATCCCCTCTTTCCTGAATATCTTCTTCATTCTTGGTTTAGTCCCTCATTTTGGCAGAGCACATCCTCCAGTTGCTTCATAGACAGACATTTGGGAGATAAATTTGATATCTGGGCTGGGTAAAGAATTCTAGGTTAGAAATCATTCAGAACTGCAGAGGTGTTGCTCCAACGTTGGAAAGACTGAAGTCATTCTAATTCTTGATCCTTTGTATTTGGTTGTTGTTTCTCTGTGGTAATTTGAAGGCTCTTGCCCCACTCCTGCCACAACTGTTCTGAACTTTCACTAGAATGTGCCTAGACATGGTCTGACTTCATCTATCATGCTGGGCCCTTCAGTTCTGGAACATTTTCTTGAGTGATGTCATTGATGATTTCTTTCCTTCCAGTTTCTCTAGTTTCTTTCTGAAACTCCCATCATTTTGATATTGGACCTCTTGGACTTATTCTCTGATATCTTTTTTTTTTTTTCTTCTGTTCTGTCTGTCTTTTGCTCTGCTTTCTAAATGATTTCCTAAAACATGTCTTCTAACCTTTCTATTGAGCTTTTGCTTTCTACTATCATATTTTTTTTATTTCCAAGATTCCTATTTTCTGATTGCTTTTATATATATAATATTCTGTTATTTGTTAGTTGCAGTATCTTCTTTTACCTCTCTTAGAGTATTAATGACAGTTTTTTTAAGTTTTTTCCTTCCTGCATTGTCTGCTTTTCTTCTCTCTCACTCTTACGCTCATTCTCGCTTTCTGTCTCAGTCTCTCTCTCTCTCTCTCTCTCTCTCTCTGAAACTGGGCTGTTTGCATATGTTTAAGAGATGATTTTGAAAAACCTTATTAAAGGCTCTGGACACATGGATGGATCTTTACCATAGGGTGAACTTAGACAGGTCAGATTCTCTAGAGAAGGCTCTTCCGGTGTCCTTCCTGAACTATAAACCAGGCTGCCAGTGTTGTAGGGCAGAAGAGCACTGGGAGTCTCAACCTTCAGCATGGAAACTTTCATTTATCCCCTTTTTCAGTAGGCAAAGAGTAGGGACCCTCACCTTGCATGATGTCCCCCAGAGACTGACTTGGAGAATACATTCCCAGTTTACTGTTAGGATGAAGTTGAGGGAGAGGAGCTAGCACACAGTCACCTGGCTGCATGGAGTTCCCTTATGGAGGGTGGGCTTGATCAGACACTCCAGAGTCTTCCTGATATTAGCCCCACCACTCATTTCTGAGCCTTTCTGAGGCACTGTGGTATGAATTAGGTTGTTTCTCAGCCACAATGCCAGCTTAAAATTTGACCCTCTCAAGTCAGTTCTCTCTCTTTCTTCTGCCTTCCAGCTTCCAAAATCTTACTGCTATTTCTTCTCTCTATTCTTTGTGGGTTATTGTCTTTTTTTAAATCCCTGTATTATCATTTCAGTAGAGTTTCAAGAGGGATTAGAAATAAATGGGTATTCAATACAGGTCTTTATCCAGAAGTCTGTAAAAATGTAAAATACACTTAATAAATGTTTTATATAATTTGGACTCTTTGCAGTGCATTCTGTACATTTATTCCCATTTGATTAAGCTTAAAACTTAGGGGTTTTTTTGTAAAAATGTATGGCTAGCTTTGCTTTTCTGCTATATTGTCAGTTTATATCCATTATATATTTTCTACAGAATCCCAGGTCAGAAAGACCAACCTCCAAATACAATGTTCCTGTGGTACAAAAGTAAAGTTCCCTTCATGATATTATAATTCATGGCATGGGTCACATAATTTCTAAGAGGGAGGCTGTCTTAGTTATCTAGTACTGCTGTAACAGAAATACCACAAGTAGATGACTTGAACAAACAAGTTTAATCTCTCACAGTCTAGGAGGCTAGAAGTCCAAATTCAGGGTACCAGCTCCAGGGGAAAGCTTTCTCTCTCTCTGTTGGCTTTGGGGGAAGGTCTTTGTCATCAATCTTCCCCTGGCCTAGAAGCGTCTCAGCATAGGGACCCAGGGTCCAAAGGACACGCTCTGCTCCTGCCACTACTTTCTTGGTGGTATGCGGTCCCCCTATCTCTCTATTGGCTTCTCTCTTTTATATCTCAAAAGAGATTGACTCAAGATACAGCTTAATCTTGTAGATTGAGTCCTGCCTCATTAACATCATAGAGATAGGACTTAACAACACATGGGAAAATCACATCAGACGACAAAATGGTGGACAATCACACAATACTGGGAATCATAGCCTAGCCAAGTTGATGTATATTTTTGGGGGACACTATTCAATCCATAACAGAGGCTATCGCAGATAATTTCATCCGAGAATTACTTTTCTATAAAGGTTCTTTGGGGTTTTGTTTGTCAGTTTGCTTGTTTTAAGGTATGTGGTTAAGTTATGGTACCAAATAAAAAAAGAAAGGAAAGGAAAGACTGGGGAGAAATTACCCAAAATACTAACAAAGGTTTGGGTAATGAAACTATGGATGGTTTCTTTTTTTTTTAAGTTTAATCTATTTCTCAATGTCCCTGTAATTTCTATAATAAAAACAAAAATTAAACTAAGACAAAACTAAAAATATATTTTCTGTATGGCTGGCTTTACATTTTTGGGTCAGATCTTTCTGTAGGAGAACATCGCCAGTGTAATCATGCAAATCAGTAACAACAGAATTTGATTTAGAGAATTTTCTTATCAACAACTTTTCCATAAACACATCTCTTCATTAAAGTCATGTGCCTGCATTTAGCCAACATTTTGTCTATTCCTTCATTTTTCCCATGAAGCTATAAATCTGAAACTTTCTAAGTGTTATTTATAGCTAAAGGCAAGAGACAAAAAAGGAAACATTTTTATTAGAAAAAGTAGTTCCTTTGATGTTAAACAAAGTACCTTAGCTCATTTTTTCCATTAATGTTTTTAATATTGTTTATGTATATTCTTCCTTCCTTCCAGCCAATACTAGAGTTGCGGGAAGTTATTCTTAATATTTTGCAAGACCCAAACAGAACCGTGGAAGGTACTGTTAATTTTGTGTTTAAATTTGTCCCCTCTGGCTGTGTAAGGAAAAGTCATCCAAGGAAAAATGGAAAGATTTATAAGTCCCCTGAAATACCTCTCACTTCTTGATTTCTGTGGCCTGATCCTTACAGCATTGTCCTCAGCGGATGTGTTTCTATTTTTATGAGTAAATAGAGTACTCAGTGCTGAGCAAAGGCTGTCTGCACTAGAGCAGCCTAGACCGGAGTGTTCTGCTTCTCTGGAGTCCTAGTGGGAAAAGACAAATGGCTCTTTCTCAGAAGAGACTGAGGCAGAATGGAGAAATGTCTCGTTTAAGTTACATGAAGTTTAATCATAACAAACGCACCAACACTTATCCATCCAGACTCACACTGTCTCGTTCAGAACAGCCATCTGGAGGTTCTTCGCTTAGTTAACCATTCCTGCCATTGGTCAGAACCCTCAGAGGACTCTCCTTTGATAAATATTGTGCCCACACAGTGAGTGGCATGCGATGATTGTTTATATTTGTTATACGAATCAAAAGGAAAAAAACAAGCTACTGCTAGAAAATAAAACGGATTATTTTATCATCTTAGAATGTGAGAAATCTTTTTGCTTTAAGAATATACTTAACTTTGGGGAACAATCAAGTCATTTGAATTTACATTTGAATTTACATTTTTGGGAATAGGGTCATAGAGTAATTAACGCTCAATAGTAGACTCTGGCGGGAAACGGTGCTACAATGCAGATATTTGCTTATAATATATGGTAGTGTTCTTCAAAGGATAAAAAAAGGAGAGAGTCAGAATTCACGCCTTTACCATTTGTTGGCCCATTCGTTGAGTCTCAGCCTCTAGCCACAACGTCTGCCTGCTTCTAATTTCCTTCCTTTCATTTTGGTCTTTGCTATCGGACTTTCATGAAAATTGTGTTAGTACGAGACTTTTTTTCATCTGCTGTCCAAGGTGATAGCCATGTATTTGTCCCTGGGGAGAGAGGGGATCAAGGTATGGTGTGAAGGATAGAAGGCCAGTGACTGGTCACTAAGGGGGCTCTCTCGAAGAGTTTGGGGATGTATTCAGAGTGTTGCAAGGATATCAAGGATCCCTCCTCAAGTGGCAGGGAGGCCTAAAGGCTTTCTGGAGTACTGGTTAGAAGGGCTAGCCTGGCTTGGCAGGGTACTGCTATTGTGCTTAGAAGGGAAAACTAGTTATAAGTCCTGCTTAAAAATCATCCACTCCTTATTTAGTATACAGAGTCCATGAGGATCACTAGAAATCATTACCTGTATGTAGTACTCTTTCATTTTATTGATTTTTAGCTTAAATATTAAATTGTTCAGCCTTACTTTCCTCTTGACATTGCATACCCAGGAATCACCTCTGACTCTTTAGCTGCTGAAGAGCTGATCAAGAAGATGGAATCTGAAAAGTCTTGTCTTTCTCCAAAAGAGAGGGAGCAGGTTACAGCAACACCCCAAGTAACCAAAGCATGCCAGGATAATCATCCTGGCATCAAATTACAGATCGCCCCCATCCCTCGGTAAGCAAATTCTAAAGCATGCTTTTGTGTTCACGGGTCTAATTCAAGTCCAGCTCTCAATTCCTCCTCCACAGATCCACAGTAACAACAGTTACAGATACCTTCTGCCTTCTCTGAGGGCCAGGCAGTCTAATCAGATGGACACTCCACAGTTCATTCTGGAATCAGGGAGAAGCCATCTCAGGATGAGAGCTGCCCTACACAGAGCTCTTGTACCAACCTACACTGACATGTCTGTCGTGTTCTATGAAATGCCTGTCGTGTTTTATTTTAGAATAAATAGAATTTCCAAAGAAGTTATAAGGTCCTGAACAGGGGGTCAAACTGGAACGAACTGGTTCAAAGCCCTGGTTCTGAATGAATCTCTTGCTGTCTCTCACATCTTTCAGACTAATTGGAATGCCCGAAGTGCAAGACATGAAGCTCATCACTCCTGTACGGCGTTCAGCGAGGATCGAACGGGCCGTGTCCCGCTATCCAGAAATGCTACAGGACCATGATTTAGTAGTGGCTTCCCTTGATGAACTATTAGAAGTGGAAGAAACAGAGTGTTTTATATTCCGCAAAAATGAGGCTTTGCCTGTAACCGTGGAGTTTCAGATCCTTGAATCATAATTTCTTGATACTTAAAAAAAGTCTCTGGTGTTTCAGAGCCTCCCTGAGACAAGAACTACCCTTGTCTGAGTGACCTGGAAAAACATGGACAATGGAGAGGCATCATGGATGCAGATTACGAACTCTTGGGACTCAGAAAGTGATTCACTGGAATTAACTCTGAAATTGTATATCCCAACAGGAATATCTGGTTTATTTGTTTAAGACTGTAGTTCTACAGCATACAAAAATTTCAAACTATTGACTATTAACCAATTTATTCCACAAGTATGGTAAAATTTGTGCTTTATTCATCTACTTTAATCCCAACATAATTAATTTTTGTTATCAGACAGTTGGTGCCACAATATGATAGAGTTTCATTTATGTATTCACCTTAGCAAAGAGAGCAAGTTCTCACAGCATGGAAAACCTGAGCTTTGAAGCTAGCTTACAATTATTTGCTAACCTGGATGAGCCCGGGCGGACCATCCAGTCAATGACTGTCCTAGCTATAGCTTTGCTCAGAGATTGCAGACGCCTTGTACGACTCGCCATCACAGTGTCCTTGTAGATGACGACTAATTCTTGTCTTTTCTGGGTCAGGGTTCCTCTCGTGAAACAAAATCCTAAGTCAGGGTGGTCCGTCCAAACCTAGTGGTTAGAGTGGCCCAGGTGACCACCCAAACCTAATTTTGCATTTGTTATTCAGATATGCTTCAAGAAAAAACAGAAGGGGCAGGGCAGAGGGATGTGGAGGGGGTGCTTGCTTTCAGTTCCTTGTCCACTTGGGGAGACCTGTCCTGAGAAGGAAATGCAAGCTCCTGAGACCACTATAGAGGTTGCTTTTCCTTCCTCCTGGGCAACTGTGCTTGGAAAGGTCAAGTCAGAATCATTATATAAATATAATGTACAGAAAAACATAGCATGTTTTTGTTTTTTTTAATTTTAGCTTTCTTAAATATTTAAGTATTATCTAAAAAACATAAATGAATTTTTGTTAGTCTTTAAAAGTTTCTGCTTATTCATTTATCTTATTTATTGTAGAAAACAGTGATGATGGCTTGGCCTAGAGAATTAGGAGCTTGTCTGGGGAAACACCACAGTTATTTGCCAAGAGGCCTGACAGGGAGCACTCATCACCCTGGAGAACTTAACCTTAATCAAGGGTCTCACCATCAGCCTCACCCAGGGACTGGATTTTGTGAAAGTGAGGGAAACAGATCCCTTTTTCAGGATCGGATTTACAGTAATGAGGTTCATAAAACTGAAGTATACAATGATAATGCCAATAAACTAACTTTCAGTGAGAAACAATAGTCACTGCATCCAAAATGGCAGGAACCCGCACAACCAGTCTCCTCCCTGAGACAGCCTTGCCTGTGAAGCCAGAGAGTTGCTTAAAGGCCACAGTCAGATCATGGGAACTTAGAGGAATCAAAGATTCAAAATCACCAAATTAAGTCTGAAGCAAGTCCCTCCCTATTAGAAATGTCCTTCCTCAGGCTGTCTGAAATCCCTTGACAGGATCCTGGTGGCTGCTCCTATGCTGCTGTCCTTTGCTTGTCCATTCATCTTTTCTTGGCTTCCGGAATCACTCGTCCTTTCCCCCAACCTCCACCCCCAGCCCAGGCCTGGGAACCAGCCATTCTGTGTGTGCTTTGCTGTCTCTCCCCAGTTCCTTGCAGGATGTCTCCCTGTACCACACTGAGTACTAACAACAACCTCGGTTGAACTACTCAACTTTAATAATGTATAGTTTTCAAACTGACCAATTGGAGGCTTGAACAACCATCCCAGATGAAATAGAGGCTTCAGGATACAACAGGATGTGGCAATGATTGTCGGTGCTACAGCAACTGCAGAAAACTGCACCCTGGTTCCGGGGCTCTTTACAGGTACTCAGTAGCCCTCTTGTTTAGTAAGTAGCTGCTCCTGGAAGCAGAGGGCAGGAGGGAGGAAGATTGATGGGAAATTGTAATGGAGATATGGACCTTTGCAGAAATCAAGTCTAATGTTTAGGGAAGCCTTCTTAGAGGAGGTAAGTATAAAGCAAGTTTGAAAGGAAGGTAAACGAGGATTTTACTGGCATCCTTGTGCAGAATGGCCAGAAAGCAGAAGACAAGGAGGAGAGGAACACTAGTTCACGGTTATCAGTGTTTGCTGTGTGCCTGCACTCGGCTACAACTCCTACATACCATAAAGGACATCTGTTTTTGCCTGCTGGGTATCTCATCCCTCTTTTGAGAAAAGCTCCCCAATTTCTTTAAGACCACCTCTTTCCCACTCACAGCCTATGTGGTTTAAACAGAACAGACTCCACCCAGGGTGAGCACATAACCTAGACCCGGTCAATGAGGAGCTGGCATCTCCCGGCCAGACAGGAGGAAGGTGTCATGCCTCAGGCGGAACCAGTGAGACTCATTTCCAGAACTTTTGTTGGAAAGAGACTCTTGCTAGCAGAGTTGCTGGAAAGACAGGATGGAAATCTTATCACCATGTGAAAAGACCTACCCAAGAATGGCACCAACATAGCATATGCTCTGTGAGCTGGAGAGAGCGAGGTTCCTTCTGTGACATTATTTGATTCCCTGGCTAAAGTTCTGGCTGGAGCCATTCTAGCCCCTGGACTTTTCTGTTACATGAAACAATATGCTTCCTTTTATCTTAAGCCAGTTTCATTTGAATTTCTGTCAGCTGCTCATTAGCAATCCTCACTAGTATACACACATATAAACTGTTATAACAGTATAGGAAACTCAAACTGTTCCCAATTTACCAAGCAGGAATTTCTGTGATAGCAAAGTACTGTCATTCATTCTACAAATGAGGTGGCTAGATCACATGTTTACCCCAGGATCACTACCCCAGGAGTACTGCTTCTGTTCCTCTTCTTCATTTCCTGACCACTCAAGACTAGATGCTGGAATTGGGATATTGATTCAGCTACTTTAACTGGACCCAAATGGAAATGCATCTCGTGCATTGACAGTTGAAGTGAAACAGTTCAGTGCTAACATGGTGTCAGGCCCAGGCCCCGTCTATCTTGTGGCTCCGCCATTCCTGGGGTGCAGCCTCGTCCACATGACCAAAGATGGCTCCCAGCCAACTTCGGATTCCACCCAGAGGGAAGGGGAAGGAATGCCCTCTCCTTTTAAGGTCACAGCTTGGAAGTTGGACACATTACTTCCGCTTGGGATGGAGTGGCCAGAACTGGGTCACATGTCTCTACTCATCTTCAAAGAAGGCTAGGAAATGTCTTTTGGGTGGCCACATACCCAACTAAAAATTCCACTAGAAATGGAGGATGACAATCAGTGTCATGGACTCAGGAAAAGTGGAGTACATCTCTAACCAAGGTGTAGATATAGAGGTTGTTGCCTGGTGGACACCCCAGGTATTGCTCTACATGACTTGTTACAGCGAATAAACAAGAGGCCAAGGTGGGAGATCAGAAAGATGCCTTTATTTGATGCTCAAGGAAAGGAGCTACTGGGGCTGCTCCCTCCAAGGCAGATTGGGGGGGAGTGGGCTTTTACAGAGAGCAGACAAGGAAATGCAAATTCATCATGAATACTCAGGATTGACCTTTACACAGGTGCTCAGAGCTTGGGGATGACTACGCGTTTTCTTTAGACAAGGGTTTGATTCCCTAGGATGGAGGAAGAGGTTGATTTGTTTTTTATTAGGATGTTAAGTCTCCACCCAGAGGCAGGTTGAGGCCGTCTATGAACCGTTCTGTGGTTATCTGGTTAAGGACAATTTCAGAAGAATGTGTAGCTTATTCTGCTCGGCGTAGGAGGGTAAGCCAGAGCAGGTGTCTCTTAGAAGGGCTGGGCTCTGAGGCTGCCTGCCTCAAGGTGACATCAGGTTTAAAAAAAAAAAAAAAACGCTGCATCAAATGAGGAGCCCCCAAGTAGAAATATCTATCCCACCCTACCCTGCCCCACCCAAGTCCCTGAGGTTTAGGAAAGTTCCAATCAAAGCTTCGTTTTCTCCACGTCCTCTCCTCACAATATATCCTTTGCCCACTCCTTCCCCTGCAGTTCAACAAGCAAACTCAGGGTCATAATCAACTGGCTGACTGCAGCTCAAAGTAGTATGGAGGAGGACGTGTAGATGCCAGAGACAAAGCGGTGAGCCAGAGGCCCTGGGCCCTGAGATCCGAGGGAAGAGCAGGAGGCCCAGGAAGAAGGCGCGGGGAGTGCTCTAGGCAGAAGGAAAGCGTAGGAAAGGCCCTCAGGCCACCTCTCCTCCCTGTGCGTGTGCAGGCTTCTCTCTCCTTCAGCATTGCTCTTGGTCCTTTTTATCTTCTCTGACCCCGTGGGCTGTTTATCATTCAGTCCTCTTCTACGTTCTCTCTACCCTAGGTGGGAAATTTTAAGGGATGGTTATTATAGTACTGGCTACTATGCCATAATTCAGGACATTTCCAGAAAAGCATGGGCCCCAGGGTCTGAGCAGTTTTCCTGATAAAATACTCTCATCTAGACCTTGTGATGGTTTGTGTGTTGCTGTGATGCTGGAAGCTATGCTACGTGTTTCCAAATACCAGCAGGGTCACCCATGTTGGACAGGTTTCAGCAGAGCTTCCAGACTAAGACAGACTAGGAAGAAAGGCCCAGTGATCTACTTCTGAAAAATATCCAATAAAAACCTTATGGATCACGACAGAACATTATACAATACAAGTGCTGAAAGATTAGCCCAAACATGTCAACAACCATGAAGATGGCGCAGGACCAGGCCGCATTTCATTCTGTTATATATAAGGTCACCACGAGTCGAAGCAACAAGCCCTTGAATAAGAATCTAGTGTTTAAGGCACTAGGAAGATCTGTTCTTTGCCCAGAGAACCTGCCCCTGCAAACTCGGGGGCCTGGAAGATTCTGAAATGTACAGGGGGAACCTGCCCCTGCAAACTCTGGGGCCTGGAAGATTCTAAAATGTACAGGGGGTATAAAAGTTGACTATGAACTCTCTGAACATGTGGCCTGTTGTCCCTTATTTATCCTCAGATATTTCAAACATTTCCATTGTTTAGCCATAGAAAACAAAGTTGGTGAATTGTATCACCAGGCATATTCTTTCAAGGTTTTGCTTTGTCGTTTCAAACATGTAAATATATTCATTCTAAACCAAAAAAAAAAAAAAAAAAAAATTACCATTGAGGCGATTCCAACTCATGGCGCCACGGTGTGTTACAGAGGAGAACTGCTCCATAGGGTTTTCTTGGCTGTAATCTTTACGGAAGCAGATCTCCGAGCCTGTCTTCCATGGTGTCACTGGTTGGGTTTGAACCACCAACCTTTAGATTAGTAGTCGAGTGCAAACCGTTTGTGCCACCCAGGGACCTATATTCATTCTAAGCCTGCATATAATGCCAGATGATTCCACTAACACACAAAAAGTGAGCTGTTGGAGTGGACTAAAATCAGTGATAGCAGAACAATGAAGGGCCGAGGTTTTAATATCTCAGAGAAGCTCTTATCAAAATAAAGAATCAAGTCTTCAAATCGTAAGTATGACTTTTTACATGTTTTACTACATTTATACATCAAGTGCAAAGACCTTTGGGCTATTTCATTTAATGTCTTTCATAGTGACCTGGAATGAAAGAACAGTTAATGAGATCATCTACAACCAATCAGGTATTACTGTTATTACTAGTATTAGAAATAAAAACGCACAGAAGTACTATTTTTAAAAAGAAATGTCTAGAAAATGAGACTAGACGTGAAGCAGGATGCAGCTCATGGGAACTGGGTAAAATAATTTTCTGCTTGATAACACACATTTCCAAACACCTCAAAGGCCACGGGGGAATGCCTTCTAGAATGAGAGCAATACTCTTCCTTCTCCCTAAAAGAAATGTTCCTGGGATCCAAATTTAGGAGACTTCAGTACGGTTGGTTTTTTTTCCTGTTTCCTACTATCTGAAATACATCTCAACCAGAAGGTGACCCGTGGTGCTGACCCACATCTGGGTTCAGTCAGCCTCCACGTAGCCCTCCTGCTCCTCATGTCTCTCTGTGCCCTCAGCCTTCAAGACGTGAGGAAACTCTCTTCCCAAGCTCACACAGTGATGCCAACCAGGGGTAGAAAATGTATCAAGATGCCCTAGGCTGAGGTTGGATGAGGATGAAGGAAAGGGGAGGGAGTCAAACCACACACATCCCTGAGAGCCACAAATATGTCAGAGTGTGTCTATCTGGTGGGTTGGGGTGGGAAAATAGTTGCAAATCACTGACTGAAGATAATGAATGCATTTGAATGTTGAGCTTCTCCTCAGTAAGAGTAAAGTAGCTTATGATTCAGTTTATCGCTGGGCATGCAGGAAGCACTCTATAAACACTGATACCACCCAGCTAAAGAGAACCTATAAAGTGGACATGTTCAAACTCCAGCCCCAGGAAAGCTAGGGTAGAAAAAGGAACCCTCGCTCAGGGTTTGGGGATGCAGGACAGGGCTGGGAGTCACGGCTGCACCCATGAAAGCTGGAGTGTCAGCTCAAGACGGCCTAGAGCAGGGCCCCTCCTCACTGCTGGAGAAGGAGCCTCGGCCTCGGCTTGGAGAGCACGTGCTCCAGCTACTCCCAGGGTGGAGACAGACTAACATGGATGGGCCAGCCGTGCTCTGTGAAGTGCGCAGGGCACCGACTCAGCTAGCCAACCCCTGGGTGAGAATCCGTGAGTCTTACATCCAGTGGTTCTCAGCCCTAAGGACCTAATGCCCCCATTTTCAAAGCAAGTATTTAATTTTCCCCTTTCTATCCTGAACTGTAATTTATAGATAATATAATAAGTGTCACAATAACTTTAAAGTCAATATATAATGCCCTAGATACAACATAACCAGTTGCCATCAAGTCATTGCTGACTCAGGGCTATCCCATTTGTGCAGAGTAGAACTGCTCCATAGGGTTTTCAAGGCTGAGACCTTTCAGAAGCAGATCACCAGGCCTGCCTTCTGAGGTGTCTCTGGGTGGGTTTGAACTGCCAACGTTTTGGTTACTAGTCAAGTGCTTAATTGTTTGTGCCACCCAGGGACTCCAAATATAACATAAAGTGGAAATAAAAAGTAATAATAATGTATTTCTACGTAAATACTCAGATGGCCACGCTTGAAGACAGAAACAAAAAAACACCGCGATTTTCCAAAATGCCCCCTAGGGTTTTTACCTCCCCGTCAGGAACCTCTCTTAGCCCAGTGGTGGCCCCAAGCTGCTGAACTCGTGGGCTGCAGCGCGAGGGCTCCACCCAGCGACGGGGCCAGCACCACCACCTCCCCGCAACTCACCCTGGGGCTGCAGGAGAGGAAGCTGAAGGCACAGTTCAGACTGGCCCAGTCTTGCTCCACGAGTGATTCATGCGGCATCTGCAAGGACAGAGGCAGATAGAGATGGGGTCGTTCCATCAATAGCAAGGCCTTCAGGGATTCCTCAGTTATGCAGAGACCCCTCACCCCCAAGCTTCCAGGTTCCTTCTATAGAAGAGGGAGCCCACCCAAGAGTGTCAACAGCGGAGGGAAGGCTCAGGTAGGTGGACTTCACTTCCCCAAAACTCTCAGGCCAGCACAGTTGGGCAAAGGTCAGGTCTCTTCAAAGGCTTCACTTGTAGCTTGAGTGTGCTTTTTCTTCACCTGAGTGGTCTCTGCTTTAGCAATGACGTCTAACAGCACTGTGTCTTGGACCCCCAGCCTGGCTGTCTGAAAGCCTAGAGATGAAATAAGGCAGCGCAGTGAGTACTCGGTTCCCCTGAGTGTGTGGGGCGCAGTGCCCAGAACAGAGCACCTCCCCTGCAGCTGGACAGTCCTGGGCTCCACTCCCAGCTCTGCAGCCTGCTAGCAGTGTGATAGCAAGTTACTTAAGCTCACTGCACTTCTTTATTATGAGGATAATAAAGCCTACTTTGCTTGGCTGCTAAGCAAAAGGTTGGAGGTTCAAGTCCACCCAGAGGTGCCTGGCAATCTTGTTCTGAAAAATCAGCCATCGAAAACCGTATGGAGCACAGTTCTACTCTGACACACATGGGGTCACCATGAATCAGTGTCAACTTGGCAGTAACTGGTTTGGTTTGGTTGCCAGGTTATTCTGAGAATTAAGTATAATCAGTGAAAATCACCCAGGCCAGCCCAGTGCAAGAAGCATAGCAGATACTCAGTGAATGGTTTTCCCTCTTTCAAACATCAAGAAGGCAGCTGAGGGTGGCGGGACAAGCAGGGGCAAGAAGCCCCAAAGCACTAGTTTCAGATCCTTGACTTAGACTCCACGTCTTATAAAATGGAAATCAGGATGATGCCTCACTGGGAGGTATGACACGTGCATGCTCCAGGGAAAGCTGTCCCACTAACCTGCCCCCGCTGCCACAGCTGCCTCCACTTCCTTGCTCTTGCTCTTAACCAAGGGCCATCGCCGGATCACAGTTAGAGGAAGACCAGCCAGAGCGCTGACTGCATCATCTGCTGATTCCTCCGTCTCCCCTGAGGTGACTGCACGTTTACTGAGGGCAGAAGGGCCGTAGCCATCCTTCTTGCAGCTGGTATGGCTTCTTGATGTTGTTGTTAGCTGCCATCAGATCAGCCCTCGACTCATCGTGACCCCACGCACAACGAACAGAACACTGCCTCGTCCTGCACCATCCCCATGATCTATTGCAGATCAGATTGTTGCGATCCATACACTTTTCATTGGCTGATTTTCAGAAGTAGATCACCAGGCCTTTCTTCCTAGTCCATTGTAGTCTGGAAGCTCTGCTGAAACCTGATCAGCATCATAGCAACACTCAAGCCTCCACTGACAGACAGGTGGTGGCTGTGCATAAAGTGAATTGGCCAGGAACCGAACCAGGTCTCCTGCACGGAAGGTGAGAATTCTACCACTGACCCACCAGTGCCTCCAGTATCATTTCTACCAGGGACATAATAATGAGATACCGTGGTCTCAACTTAAAGCAGGAGTTAAGGTTGGGCATGAGGAAGAGCTTCCTCAGCAGAGGTACCTTATCTACACTTCCTTATCTCGTGTCATGCATTTTTTAAGGTGCAGACAGTTATCTACAAGGCTTTGACCCACTTGTGTCTAGGAGATTGGGTCTGGTGACCTCGAAAGCTCCTGGCAGGGCTGGGGACCGGCAGGCTCTTCCGGGGTGGAGGGTAAGGATGTCCGGGGAGGTTCTGCAGGGACCCACCAGCTCTGGAGCCGCCAGAAACAGCGAGCTCAGTGCGTAGCGCCGGAAGTTGAGGCAGGTGTCAGTGTAGAGGTCGGCTAGCGCATCAGCTGGCGCAGAGCGTCTGACGGAAGCCACAGCAGAACCGGCTCCCCATGGTGCTGTAGCACAGGTCCAGCTCCCGAATGACCCTCTGGCCAGGCAGGAAGCATGCTGAATAGAGCCCTCACCCCACCTCTGGACCTGCACCCCCAACAGCACTCACCACCCATGCTGAGGGCCAGCCCATCCTGCTGGGACCACACCCAGCTCCGCCCTCACCTACTCATTCCCTGAATGACCCTCCCTGGGTCTCTGTCACCTGGGGCCAATGACACTTTTGCCCAACTGTAGGGAAGGAGCTGCTTTCTTTAAACACAGAGGCTGCACACATGTACTTTTGGATGTGGGATGGCTCCCAGTTTGCCATGGGCCCCACTCCCCAGCTGCCTGCCTCAGCTTGCTGCCCAGTTACCTGCCTGGCCCTGGATAGAGAGCACTGTTCTAAACCCTCAGCATCACTCACCTTCTGATTCTCCCCCAGATGGTTTTGCAAAGGCCCACATCCACCCCTACTCCTGCCCCCCAGCAGGCTCCATCCTGACACAAGGCCAGCTCTCAGAGCCTGGAAAGTTGGTCAGGACACTTACTCTGGGTAGCCAAGTGTGTGCTGCTCCCCTGCCTGAGCCCCAGTTTCCTCATCTGTAATACGAGGGTGACAATCACCCCCCACCCATCTCACAGAGCTGTGGGGAGGATCAGCTGGTTGTACAAGGGCTTGGTAACCTGCAAAGCCTCTGCCAAGACCCTTTGTGACGGGCCCCAGTGGGCCTGGGACTGCCAACTGGGGACAGGGCGGGTGACCCAATAGGCAAGGTAAGCACCGTGCTTACCTTGCTACCAGCTCATCTGTAGTGAACAATTTCACATTTTTTCACCACATCAAAGATTTTCCTTCTAGGTATGGCTGGCATCTGTCTCTCTCCCAACCCCACAGCACCTTCCTACAGAAGCAAAGTCTGTTTTTAAATTTACAATCCCTAACAGTGCAGATGACCCAAAAAGCAAGATAAGCATGGGCTTACTTGTGCTTACTAATCTGTAGTGAACAATTTCACACCTTTGATGTGGTGAAGCCCATGTGAAATCGTTCACTATAGATGATCTGGTAAGCAAGGTAAGCCCTGTGCTAACCTTGCTTATTGGATACCCCGCCCTTGCGTGGGAATCTCCCAGATTCAGCGGCCGGTCAATAACACCCAAGGGATTTTTTTCTTTCTCCTCTCTTTCCAGATCCATCAGCTCACTGGCTCTAAATCCCATCTTGTCAGGCCCTGTAGGGTCCCAGGCTTGCCCTCCAGCCAGAGGGCTGCTCATCAGTCACATGAGGACCCAGCTGGGCAGGAAGTCACCTCTCAAGAGGGCTGAACAGTAAGGGAGGCGGAGCAAGAGCCAGGTCCCACAAATCACCCCACAGGCTGAGCCTCCTCCCAAGTACACTGCTGTCATGCGGAACTCGGGCCAGCAGGGGGCGCTGACTGACAAGGACGGGTGGCTGAGCAAGGCTTGCCACAATGCGGGTCCGGGCAGCGCCCTCTCCCCACCCCTTCCCACTGATCCCGTCCCCTCCTCGCTTGCTACCTGCTCTTGCCCGAATCTCCCTCGTGGTGGAGTTGATGACTTGCAGTCCGCAACTGCTCCCATCCATGTGCCTGGTACAAAAATGGCCACATGACCCAGGAAGAGATGAGCCAGGCCTCCAAGCGCCAGGCACAGCCTCCCAAGATCCCATAGCAGGGAGGCATTTCATGGCTGCCAGTGGGGATGCTGGTCTGACCCCAGCACAGGCCGTGTGCTTGCACATGTGACGGGGTAGGGTCCTGAGTCCAGGTGTGGTAGGCTGGGGGTGGTGCCTACAGGTCACAGAGTGTGAGCAGTCCTGGGGGGCAATGGGGCCCCAAGTCCAAGGGACTAGGGAAGCCCACCCGGAAACAGATCCTTGGGATTTCCTGATGACCTGGGCCAGGCCTTTGATGCCAGGCCTGGACGTAGGCCCCCACCCCTCCATCCCTCTCCCTCCCCAGGCAGGGGTAGCAGGCCAGGGGTCTCACTGGTGCAGGTCAGCCAAGCGCATGTCCAGCCTCTGCAGCTCCTCCAACCGCTCTGGAAAATGCACAAGGAACAGCGGGGGTGAGGGACAGCTGGGTCACCATAGCCTGCCCTCCTCAGTCAGCCCTAGTCCCAGTCTAGGCCCCGTAGGTCAAGGGGGAATCCATTCAGGGAGTCAGGTCACCTTTCCAAGGTCATTCGGCCATGATTCAAACTGTTAGAACAAACAAACCCTGAATTGCTGGGCTCACAGCAACCACTAATCCTGAGGATTACTTCAAGTCATTCCTGGGTCAGGAGTTTGTACCTCGGGGTGGGTAGGGTGGGGTAGGTAAGATGAGGAAGGAGGCTCCTCTGGAATCTTCCCAGGGCACAAAATGCAACAGGACTCTGAAGCCAGGAGACTGAATTTGAGTCCCAGCTTTGTCCCTACTGGCTGTGTGACTTTGGGCAAGTAACCGAACCTCTCTGGGTTTCTGTTTCCTCGTGTATAAAATAGATCCTCCCTCATGGGGTGACAGTGCTTCATAAACCACAGAGTGGATGGGATTATCATGGTCACTATTAATCCCCAATGGGAAAGGGAGGAGGTGATGATGGGGCAGGACTCTGCACTGGTGGCAGTACCCCTCCACCTGTTCTCACCCCCTACAGCTCACCCTTTTCCCGGGCCCAGGTGCCCAGCTCCCCGGACAGCTCAAGAACCACCAGGCAAGTCCGCCAGCCCTGCCGCTTCTTGGACTTGAGGATGTTCCCAAAGATGTGGTCCCCATTGTACAGGATGTCCTTCCCCTGCACCCTGAGCAGCTCGCACACCACGTCTGATGAGCCTGCCTCACCATGGAAGGAGACACTTGAACTCACAGCCCCTCCCTGTCCAGGCAGAACAGGTCAGGGACCCACAGAGGGCCACGTGGAGGGAGAGGGAATGGGGTGGGAGTGGGTACCTCCACAGTAGATGGCACGGTGTTGGTGAGGCCCAGTGTAGGTGCCCACGTGGAGCTTCCTCGAGTCCTGAGGCAGCAGAGGGGCGCTCTGAGGTCAGAAAAACCGTCTTCCATCCCTGGTAAAGGGGGCTGGGGGCTGGGTGCGGCGAGGGTAACCACGAAGTGCAGGAGAAAGGAGGTGGCGGAGGGCTTTGAGGGAGTCCCCCTCATCCCTTGTCTCCAGGGACAGATAGGCCAGCAGAGCAGGCAGCCTCTAAGAGCAGGCTCCCCTCCACCCCCCGCAGGACACGGGTCATGGTGGACTGGCGGCAGCACCTGCCATGGCTGTGTTGACCTGCCTCAGCATCATTCCCTCTGCGAAGAATCAGGGCTTCTGCGTGTCCACCACCATCAGGTCAAAGCAGGACCTCCAGGGCTTGGCTGAGGCCTCCGCCTGGGGGACGGGGTGCGGGAGCTTGTGCAGACACACACTCAGCCTGAAGAATCTGACCCTGCCACAAGCGGCTCAGAGGGCCTCAGCCAGGCCGCTGGCCACAGCTGCCCCCTCTCCTACCCTGCCTCCCCTGGCCGAGCCACCAACCAAGCTCTGTCCAGCTTGGTGGAAGCTTGCCAGCCCCAGTGTCATCCATGTGCCCGGGTCCTGCTGCCCAGCCAGATGAGACATCCCAGGCCCAGGAACCAGGAAGTCTCGCTCCCCAGCATCCCCATCCAAGCCGGGTACATGAAAGTGTGGAGAGGTGCTTGCGGAGGTCTGTGTTGGGTGTCCCGTGTGCCCTGTCAGCCTCCAGAGCCACTCACAGGGGCACAGATGGGCCCGGATGCACAGGGACATGGGCCCTGCTCCCATGGCCAGTGAAGCCTGGTCACACCCAGCACCACAGTGCTCATCACGCACTCCGTTCCCCTGGCCTGGTCTGCCTGTCCTCTGTCCTCCTCTCACCCCCTTCCCATCTTCTCCCAGCCCCTCCCCAAATGTCGGCTTGCCACTTTATGGCTTTATATGAGGCTTTATATTTCTCCCCTCAGGTTCCTCCCATGCCCTGGCTGAGGGAGTGGCCACCCTGGGCCTCCCGCGCAGGCCGCTGACCTCCCACCCATCTGGGGAGGTTCCAGCCAGGCCCACACACGTGAAATGACGCCTGTCACACACTTGTTCTTCCTGGAGGGGAGGGCTAGGCGTGGGAGATGCCAGAACAGAAAGGCATCCCCTACTCCCACCCCTGACCCACTGCGGCTCTCAGCAGCATGGTGTGGCCCTGGCCCTCCCTGCTCTTTGCACAGCCTTCAGGGCTGCTATGCTGGCTCCCAACTCACCTCACCAGCGTCAAACAGGTAGGTCACAATGGACTGGCAGGGACAGGGCAGGGGTCAGGGCACCAGGCTTGGGCTGGGGCAGGGGCCACGGCCTGCATCTGTCCCTCACCCCATCACCCCCTAGGGCACATTGCTGCCTCTGTCCTCACCCCACCACTCCATCACCCCACATGGCACATCACTGCCTCTGCCCCTCACCCCATCACCCCATCACCCCCCAGGGTACATCACTGCCTCTGTCCTCACCCCATCACCCCATCACCCCCCAGGGCACATTGGGGACCACAGGAGCACAATGGCGGAGAAGGTGCTCATTCCACTGAGACCTGAAAAGGCTGAGAAATGGAACCCAAGATACTAGCCAGGCGGTGAGGGAAGGAGGGTCTTGGCGCCTTCCCACCCCGTTACTGTTCCCTACAGTGCCTCCCTTCCCGTGGGGCCAGGAAAGAGGCAGTTCTCTGAGCCCAGAGGCTGAAGGCCCCCAGCCTCCACACATATTCACATCAGTGTGACTGTAGCTGCTGGTGGTGGTCAGAAACTTTCCCAGCCTCCTTCATCTTACCCAGCAGGATGGGGATTCGCACCTGGGACAGAGAACAGGGTGACTTCCGAGGGTGGACTTCCCAGAGCTGCCCTGGGGACCCCTCCACTGGTCTCAGCACCCTGGGAGCCCAGCCAGGCATCCACCTTTCAGGGCAGGTGGGCCCCAGGCCAGCCAGGAAAGCCTTGAGCAGTGCCAGGGTGTGGAGATCTCCGTCTACGCCTGAGGGAAGAGACCAGCGGAGGGCCCTGCTGCCCTGAGGAGCAGACGGCCAAGGCCTCATCACAGCCCTGGGGCTACAGCCACTCACACCCTTCTTCATGTATTTCTCCAAGTCCTGCAGGGTCTTCTCCTTGAGACAGCCCTGCAGGAGGGAGCAGAGAGGTGTGTGTGTGCACCTGTGTCCAAGATGGTGGGAGTGGCACTGGGGAGCCCAGACCATCAAAGTCCTCAGTGGGAGGAGAGGTGGACATGGTAAGGGGGCTGGAGGCATGGCCCAGGAGAGCCAAGGGCAGGCAGGTCGCAGGTCACAGGTCCCAGGGCCCTGGGCCACTCACCGACTCATGGACATTACTCATGGCATCGGTCACATCCTGGAAGAGGCTTCCCTGCTGATAACCAGTGTCACAGCTGGGACTGACCAAGAGGGCACAGGGAGACCAACAAGGGAAACAGGGTGACATCCAACCCTGGGGCTTATACCAGAGTGACGCCTCCAGCCACACCGGGAAGGGTGCCACACGGTGCTGAGGGTCACCTCTTGGGGGCAGCACTGGTTTCCACGTAAAGGGGCCTTTCTGTTGCACTCCAGGAGCCCCCTCAAACCCCACAGGAGGAACCTCTGCCCCTGGATGGGGCCCCCACTTCTGGGTTTGGCCCCTGGACAGTGGCAGTGTCCTATTGGTCACCCAGGGCTGGCAGGGCGTGGGGACATACTTGATGTAGCGGGAGCAGCTGGAGAAGAAGTCCACCAGGCAGACTTCTAGAGATTGGTTTCTGAGGCAGAGATGTTGGTCAGTTGCTGGCCCTGGGGACCAGGAAGCAGCCCCCCAGGCCAGAGGTGGGGCCCTGAGGAGCCCCTGCCCCCCCCATCCCGCCCTCACCAGGCAAGTTGAAGAGTGTGTTGAGGATGTGGAACCGCTGCAGGTCATCCCTCTGAATGCACTCACTGGGATAGAAGCTCCAGATCTTGGCCCTGGGGAGGGGTGAGCTGCATGCAGCGATGCCCCTCTTAGCACCTCCCCGAGGCCCTCCAGGCCCTGGCCATTCCTTGTTGCTTCCAACTATTCCTTTTCCCTCCTTCATCCAGCTTCCATCCCTCTATCCATCCTATTCCCTCTTCCTTGCTTCCCCTTCTCTCCACCACACCCCTTGTCCCTTACTCAGAGAGGAGGGGGAAGCCATAGGTGCCCAGCAGCACGTTCTCGTGGGTATCCACCTTCAGCAGGTTCCCATAGAATGCATCAAACACCAGCCCCCTGGGGAGAGAGCACAGAGGCAGTGGGTGGGTGCTCGGGGTCAGCGATAGCCCTCCCTTGCCCGCCACCAGCCTAAGCCCAGCACCTGGTGGGGAAGCCAGGGTCGTATGTGTAGCACAGGATCTCGTGTGGGTACCTGATGCACACCAGGCACTCCAGCAACAGCTCAAAGGCTAGTGCCTCATAGGCTAGGGACTTGCAGGCTGAGGGTAGGCCCAGGCAGCTGGAGGCCCAACTGGGGCCTGGCTGCCCACCCCTGTCCCCCTAACCCCCAAATGCCCAGCGTTCCAGTCCTCTCCACCAACCAGAGTGTAGTCCATGTCGAAGCTGAAGCAGCGAATCTTCTCCAGCGCCAGGCTGTGGTTCACAAAAATCCTGGGAGTGGGAGGGGGATGTTGGGATTATTCCGCCCCCTCCCCAAATCCAAGACCCAAAGAAGGATGGGCGCAGGGTGGAAAGTCAGCAATGCAGGCAGCCCATCCTTCTGCCCATCATTTCTGAATCTGAGTGTCTGAATGCTTGTGTGTGTGTGCATGTGTCCATGTGTTCATGTCTGCATGGGTGAGCATGTGTGAGTGTGCAT